ATGAGTCCCAGGATCATGGCGCTGTCGCCCACGACCTGCATCCCTCTCCATCTCCTAGCCACTGCCTCCGCGAGTAGCCTTTGCAGTCCCACAAATTCAGCCACATTGTTGGTGGTGCGTTTGTTGCTCAGGCTCGTTGCCGCAGCCCACAGTATCTTTGGCCTCTCACTCTCCCCGGTCCATTCTACTATCACGCTGCCACTTCCTCCGGGTCCGGGATTTCCCCGTGAGCCTCCATCGAAGAAGCCCACCCGTGTCACGCTGCCTCCTCCATCTTCTGCATCTGCCTGCCTAGTGGCAGCCGCCCATGTTGCGCGTATCCGCTTTGCCACAATTATTGTCTCGTGCGATCTTGGTGTTAGCGGGAACTGTCCCAATGTGTATCTCAGTATCGTGTTCTGCAACGACGCCTTCAATCTGTTGACTACCTCTTCCAGCTGTCCGCTGTCGATGCCGTCCGGGTGCACTTCCGCTACCTTCCACCTCCAGATTGCCGTGATTGTTGCTGCACATCCCATTGTCCACGTTGCTGCTGCTGCTCCTGTATGCTAATCCACAGCAGTGATCTTGCCCGCTCTCCGTGCAGTTGGTGCATCTCGTCCCTGCGCATTTGTACTTCATCTCCTTTCCTCTCCATACCCTCAATCTCCCCATTTTCATCCTCACAATGTTTTGTTTCTGGTACGCTGTTACCCCATGCATCCGCTGCACGCTCTTCCACGAAAATTGCTCCATTGCCCTGCTGATGGCTGTGTTTGATTGCCCCATTTTGATCCTCATGCGTTCTTGCTCTTTTGCCGCAGCTTGCGTCGTTCCTCCTTATTACGTCCTTGTATGCTTGACGCGACCTAGTCCATCTTCGCTTCCCCGCCCATAGCGGCTGCATGTGTGTCCGGTCAGGATGCGGCGTTACCCAGACCGCCTTGGGCGTCGTTTTCAGTAGCTCTGCTATATTAGCACTCTCCTCCGCCGGGCCGTCCCCCATGCTCACCTCCTTCTCCGTGAACGCCCAGCCGTGCCTGACAGTCGCTCGCCTGTCAGAGCTCTCGACCCAGAAGCTATGGTGTGGGTCCGTTAGTCCATGCGAGACTCTTAATTTGGTCGCGTCTCCTGGTTTGGACACTAGCTCCGGGAATTGAGCCAATAGTGATAGCCCTAGCTCTCTGAAGAGGTGCGCTTGCCTGCTTTCCATCGGCATCTCCGTGGAGTGCGGTTGCACTATCACCCTGCCTTTGCTCTCGTACTTGACTTCCATTAGGTCTCCAACCAGTTGCACTCCCCGTCCTTCTGTTAACCTCCTGTATGCCGACCACTTCCGTACTGCCCCAGTTGCGTCCCCGCGGCACCAGCCTCTTGTACGGCAGGTCTGGCACTGTTTGATGTATCAGTCCGCCGTATTCCTTTTCTCTCCGCCTTCTCGCTTGTGTCATTCGCCCCATTAATTGTGCTCCAAATTCACAGACCAACCCCATCTTACTCCAGGTCGTCTTCATGCCGTTTTTCAGCCTCATCTCCCGCCTTATGTCCGCCGTACTGTCTTCACTGGCTCCTTGCGGCATCTCAGGTGCGAATCCTGTCTCGACTATCGGCTTGCCGGTAGTCCAGATGTCTCCGTGTAGCTTTGGCTCAGCGCTGTTCGCATATGGTATAATGTGTTTGATGTTGACTCCTGCCTGTTGCTGTAGCAACTTGCCTGCGCTCTGCTTGCTCTTGGTCGTAGCGGTGGCCCATGTCCCCACTGTCGATGCGGCCAGTGCCATCAGCTCTGTTCTGATGTTTGGCACTCCTAGCTCTCCTTCCTTGGGTCTTAATTCCGCGACCACGGCCGGTACCCAGCCCCTCGGGGCATGATCCGGTGTGGAGAATGATGATTGCCAGACAAAGCTCCTTATTCTCCAGTCCGCTTCCTTGACCAGGTCACCGTCCGGCCAAGCGTGCCTTGCCACGTACAGTAATTTTGGAACTATGATTGCCGACGCGATTGTCGCCCTCTCCTGCACTGTGTTCGTCTTTTCGACTGCCAGCGCTAGTCTGGTTGTTAATGTTGCAAACGCCTTGGCCCATGCGCTTTTCGTCCTGTCCGTGGATCCTGTTATGTGCCCCAGGTATCTTGTTTCGGTGGCTTCTTGAAGTGGTTGGGCCCCCTCCCTCTTTGTTTTAGCTCTTCCGTGCCTGCGTCCCCCAGTCGTATGGATAGCGACTTCCTGGCGTTTAGCAGTAACCCCGACACTTCCGAGAATTGTTCGACTGTCTTCAGCGCCGTGTCCTGCATTGCTGCGTCCTCGATGTAAATCGCCGTGTCATCGGCGTAGTCAGCTATTTGTATCTGTTCTCCCTCCTCTTGGTCCCCTAGTCTGACTCCTCTAATACCGCCCTCACACTGCACTGCGTCATACAATAGATCCACCGCCAGTATGAATAGCAACGGAGCCAGCGGGCAACCTTGCCTTATACCACTCGTGACCAGTATTGCCCTCGATAACGTTCCATTGGCCATAAATTTTACCTCCGTGTGCTCGTGTGTATCTCGCACTAGCGCTCTGAATTTTGGGGGGAACCCCTTCGCCTCCAGCACTTTGTGCATGTATTCCCTGTCGAGTGAGTCGTATGCTTTCGCAAAGTCTAGGAGCAGCACTTACGCGTAGGTGAGCTCCTTTTTGCCCGTCGCTGCTGCTTTCGCCGCCTCCAAAAGGTCGATTGCGTCGTGTATTGTCCTCCCTGGGATGAAGAACCCGTACTGTGTTTGATGTACCAACCTCTTTACATGTCTCCGTACTCTCCACGCCAGAATCCTGGTGAGAATCTTGTAGTCGGTATTGAGTAACGCGATTGGCCGGTAGTTTAGTCCGTTGCTTGTGTCTCCCCCCTTTGAAATACTGAAGATGTACGCCTCGCTGAAGGACGTTGGTGTGCTTCCTTCGTCCAGAAAGACGTTGAACAACTTCGCTAGTATTGGCACCAGAATATCCGCGAAGTCTCGGTACCATTCGTTGCCTATGCTGTCGGGTCCGCACGCTTTTCCGATCTTGCATTTCTTGATCGCTGCTGCTACTTCCTCCTCCGTTATTTTCCTGTCGATATCTTCCAAGTCTACCTTCTCCCAGGTTTGTCTGCATTTGCGTATGAAGTCTTGAGCACCCCTTTCGTCTTCTGCCTTCCCGTTGAAGATGCTCTCCCAGCAGTCTGCCAATGTTTCAGCCTTGTCATGTGTGCCCCGCCTGGGTGCTCCGTCGGCGGCCTTGAGCGCCGGGATGATATTGTCTCCGCACTTGGTGCAGATCCTGTTGAAGAAGTATTTGGTTGACGTTTTCGACGTCCATGCTCCTTTGTTGATGAGGCCTCGCCGTTTGAGGGCTCTGCGTTGAGATTATACCTGTTTCAGCTCCGCTATCCACTCTTCTCGCTGCTTTCTGTCTTCTCCGGTTCCGTTCTTTCCTGCTGCCAGCTTCCGCTTCAGCCTGCTTATTCTTTGTCTGCACCCTTTGGTCGTCCTTCTTCGTGCGTGTTGCTTAAGTTGCGCCATCTCCTTCTTTACTCGTTCTTTGAAGCGATCCCATTCCAAAGCCCATGTACTTGGGCTGATGTCGTCTAGTCCGGCCCCCAGTTCGTTAATCTCTTCTCTATCATGTCTTTTGTTGCCGCCTGCACGTACATCGGTGGGGGATATACTGTCTCCCTCTTTTTGACCCTGACTGCTCCGTTTGGATAGTGCATCTCCAGCAAGACTCCCCTGTGATCAGAGTCGCATATACCCTCATCCGTGGTTACTCCACGTACTTGTTTCCATTCGTGTCCACTGATGTACCATCTGTCTAAGCGCGAAGTTCTCTTCAATCCGTCCGCTGTAGTATAAGCGTATGTGTGGTGTGTTCGAGCGTACGTGTCCACCTCGATGTCCGTTATTGCCTCTGGCATGTTGATTTCTCCTGTGTCCACTAGCGCGTTGTCCTGCAAGAACAGACGTAGTGTCCTCGCCCCCGCATCTTCTGTCCCATTTTTCCCGCTTCTGTCTACCTCTGCCATCGTTACGCAGTTAAAATCCCCTCCACATGTGACGGTATGTTCCTTCGGCAGGTCTATCCCCCGGAGCCTGTTGAAGAAAAGCGTCCTTGTGGGTCCGTGAGACGGAGCATACACGCTGACGAAGAGATGCCGCTTCCCTTGTATTTCTCCTGTGGCCATCACTAGATGCTCCGTCCAGTGCTCTTCACCCCATGCCTTCAGATTCTTCACCGCTCCATACGGATTGATGAGGATGGCTACCCCTGCTCTTCTGGCAGTGCCTGACGACCATAGTGAGAGTGTGGTGGTACATGTCTTTTTGTACCCCCACATCGCCGTATACTGTGCAGCTGCTGCTTCTTGTTCTGTACTTGTTAAATGGGTCTCTTGGATAAAGGTGATGTCCCTCACTCCGTGTTCTTGCCGCTCCCGCAGTACTTGTAAATATGCACCCAGGTGCTCCTTGTGCATTGCCATTCCTCTGACGTTGTAAGTGGCTAAGCCCACAGTTTTGTCGTTCATGTGTTGTTGCGCCGCTAATCGTCGTTTACGTCTCCTCGTTGTTCTTCGTTGTCTCGTTAAAAGTCTGTTGAAAGTCTTGTGGTCCTCCGCTATTGTCTCCATCCGATCCTGCTCCGTAACTTGCCTGAAAAATCCTCGTATGAGCTGCTGCCTCCCCCTTCCTTGCTGCAGCCGCTCGATCCCTTGCGGGGTTGGATCACTGCATGGTTCCCCCATCACCGGCTTGTGTCGTGTCTTTCTTGCCTCTCCGGCGCCACTGCCGTCCTTTCCTTGGGCTTCTCTTCGTGGTCGTTCCTTTGTGTTATGTGTGTCGGTGTCACGCTTGGTGGGTAGTGTGCTGTAGGTGCCGTGACTATTGCTTCAGGTTTGTTTGACTTGCCTCCGGGTCTTACACCCCCGTCCAGTTTCTTATCTTCCGTCGCGGTAATTTTTGTCGGCTCCGACTGGGTCTCTTCTTCAGAAAAGTGGTTGTTGCTCTACTGTCCTTCCTTATCTCCCCATGCCTGCGCTGGCTCACTTCCTCGTTTCATTTCCTGCTCGTTCCCCTGTACGTCCCGTGCTTCTGTCTCCAGCTTCTTTGCTTCTCTTCTGATAGCTTTTAATTCCCTGGCAGCTGCTCTTGCGGTCTTATCTGGATCGTAAGGCTCTGGATCTAGCCCAATTCCTCCATATTTTTGGATAATGTTGTTGCGGCGTTCCGTGAGCTCCCTCCATCGCTCCGTGTATTCTTGGTATCTTGTGGCCTCGTAGGAGACCGCTTGGTAGTGGTTCCCCGTGCCGCTGTACCTGAGTATCATGATGATAGGGAACGTGCCAACTGCTATGAGGTCTCTCAGTAGGTCCGCTCCTATTTGAGAGGGCATTGGCACTACCATGCCGGATTCGATCATTGTTTTGTCTGGGAGCTCCACGTCGTGGTAGCCATAAACTTGCAGCCTGGTGTTCTCGTCCTGCATCACATCTAGCACATACACCATTTCCCTAGAGCGCATCGCCATTGCTTTGATGTGTTCGGGTCTCATCCAGTAGTTCATGGGCACGAACGCTTTTGCTGATCTGTTGCGTTGGTCTGCGTAGTGGTTGGCCAACGTTTTCAGCTTCTCCTCCTTTGGAGCATGCATGGGGATATCCTTTCCGATTGCCTCCACTGCTGCTACAAAGTTCGCGTCGTGCACCTCTGCTTCGTCCACCAAGTTCGCAATCATGCTGTTGATGACTTGTTTTTTCAGGATGTTCGCTGCTTCTGCTGTCGCTGTCTCCACGGGCTTGAGGCCCTCCCTGACATTGTGTATCGCGGCCAGGAAAGCCAGCCAGCCGCAGTGCTCGTTTGCGGCCACGTCGGTTATTGTTCCCCCCATAATGTCTAGCCAAATATTGAGCGGTAGTCCGTGATCGTCTCCCTCTTTGACTCCTGTCATTAGGAAACCTTCGGCGTTCAGGTGTTGGGTTTCTTCTTGTTCTCGCGGCTGGGCTCGTTTGCTCTCGGTTTCCTCCTGCTTGGTGGCTGCCGATGTTACGTAGTTGTGCATGTATTTCTGAATGGCACGTCTTCCTCCCTGAATATTACCTTTAGATCCGTGTTTATTCGTCTCTTGGTGCTTGATGCCTCGTTCTTCTGCTGCGTTTTTCTTTTGTGCTTTACTGTTTCTGCCGTTGTCGTTGTCGATGCCCAGCTTACAATTTTCGGAAAGTTGTCTTTTCGGCGACAGTGACCGCGTGTGCTCTTCGTGCTCCGCTGTACCTGCCTCAGGCCTCCGTTTGGCACTGCGTGGGTCGTACATTTGTGTCTGTTCGGGTCGGCTTGCTTGTTCCCCCTTCTCCGCCCTGTGGCCTCCCTCGTTTACACCAGTGTCAGTCCGGTTGTGGCGTGCGTCTTGCTCCGCATGGGCCTCATCTTGTTCACTCATGTACCAGTCTTCTTCTTCATAGTCGGAGCCTGCGGCCTGCGTCGGTTGATCACCTTCTGCATTAACTCCTGTCTCCTTGTGTGTCTCTATAGCTTCTGTCCGCTCCGATGTCTTGACTGCACTGTACCCCTTGTTGCTTGTTTCCAAATTACCCGGCTTTTTTGGGGCCGCCATTGCCCACCTGGCCTGTTCCCAGTCCTTGGGAATACTCGGCCTCTCACGTCCGTCTGCTGCCGCTTGCTGCTTCTCCTGGCCTTGCTTCATAATCTGGGAGGTGCTCGATAGTTGACGTCCTTTGACTTGTGCTAATAATTGCTCGATGGTTGTTGGATGTGCGTTGCTGCCGTATTCGCGTCCTCCTTTTCCTCACTGTGATGGTAGCTTCCTTCTAGTTGCACTGCGTGATTCTGCTGTGTCTCCTTGATGCGCTCGGGCAGTGTTCTGCAGAAACGTCCCGAGTGATCAGGTGCTCCACATAGTGTACATGGCCAATGGGGATAGACTTCGTGATGGTACACCGTCAATGAGATGTCGCCCACCACCATGCTGGATACTCTCCTTAGATTCGCTGGGCACGCTTCCGCCTTGATACTGACATTCCATTGCTTGTCATTCACGTTTCCGCCTCCCGTTTCAGCGTGTGCTAGTGCTTGCACTCGCACCCCTAATTTCTGGCTTAGTATTCAATACAGGTCAGAGGAGGTGGGGCAGCCCCTCTTTGCTGCAATCGTGAATCGATAGTAGTCCATATGAATCAGAGCATTATTCGTCTTGGCTTCCTCTCGTTGCGTCTCGTAGTCCACCAATTTGAGCATTCTCATCCCCAGCGGCATGCCCCATCCAACCCACTTCATGGCAGTGTTCTTCCCTTTGAAGGTCACCTTGACGACTCTTGTCTCTGTGTTGATTGCTGCTCTTGAGATCTCCCTCTTAAACTCCATGAATTGCATTTTTTGTGGATAAGCGGCTTCTGCTCCCATGTTCATGTGCTGCAGGATTGCTTGTATCGACACGTTGGGCCCGAAACGCTGTCCAGGGAGTAAATGAGCGTATAGTGGATAACCTATCACCATGAACAGGTCAGTGAAAGCCGCCAATTCCCTAGCGTCCATGATTTGAATCAGGAAACGCGGAGGTATCGGCACCTCTAACTGGTGATGAAGTATCCTCTCGATTGCTTGTTTCTCTTCGTCCGTCATATCTCGTAAGACCCTGATTGGTTCCGCTTTCTTCATGCACAGTTGATACCATTTTTGAAGGTCCTCGTTGTCTTCACCGTTTTTTTGGTAGGCAGCTCTTCTGTCTCGTCTACGGCATCCTTGTAAGATCTGCTCGGTTTATTCGCGTCTGTGTTTTCTTGAGCCTCTCTTGGGTCATTTGTGAAGGTGAACTGCATGAGTCTAGCTTCAAGCTCCTCTTGGTTGACAGCTTGTTTGATCAGCCATTCCTCCATTAGTCCTCCTAGTCGTTCCCGGTGGTCTGCCTTGGCGCAGTCCCATGTGCTTAGCAGCTCTTTGTATTGATCCCTCAAGTGTAAAGGAATTTCATCTGTCCATTGCTCCCTGATCTTGTCCTTTTCTTCGGCCGTGGCTTTTTGTTTCTTCATTTGCTCCAGGTGAGCTTTGAATCGCCGCTCCTTGGCGAGGTCCTTCAATCTCAGCATTGTGTGTAGCACATACTTCGTAGGAGCTTTGTCCATCATGTATGAACGCAGTTGGGCGTACACTGTAACCCCATCTCCTGAGTCTGGGGCTCCTTGTCTCCCATTTGTTCTCCTTGGTCTCTCTCCTCGTGCGGCTGTCCCTCCTGGTAGACTACGCTTGCTGGTTTCTGGTTTCGTTCCCACTCTCCCCTGCTCTCTTGCTCCTGTTGATCTTTCGTACCTCCCCGCCGAGCCGCCCATGCTTGCTTGATGCTTTCCGTGCACCACTGTCTTCCATCCTTTTTTATTTTCCTGTTCATCATCTCCTCCTTTTCCTCCTGCATGTGTATTCCTCTGCCTCCCATGTGGCCTTCGTCCGATCCTGTTGCCACCATTCAGTCCCTCGTTGATCTCCGTCCGTTTCGACGCAACCTTTCAATAGTACTTGAAGATTGTATGACCCGGGGGTTTCGCGTCCTTCCAAACGCCCCCCGGGATCTTTGTTGCTTGAGCGCTTCCTTCTCTCGGCTGGGGTCTTGAGCAGTCGCGCGCAAATTTGGAAGTGAAACAATACGCAGCTACTGTGAGCTCGATGCTTGGGCCCGTGACAACGATGAACGAGGGCAGACGACACTCGAAGGTGCGCGAGGCGCGTAGGATGTGAATCGTTGAAGGACACACGAACACATGTGGACGCATTGGAGCTCTGAAAAAAAAAGGATCGACTCTGGACGAAAAGGATAAGCAAGCGTCTATCGTTGACGGAGTTCACGCGGCTGACGAGACGGCTAAGTCAGCGAGTGCACAGCACGTCAGTGTACGTGCGAGTTGACCGGAAGCTCCGTTGAGAAGGACAGGTCCGTCCAAGTGGCTAGGTACAGCGCCGGTCACAGACTCTGGTAACACCGGTTCGGTAATGGCGAGTAGCGAGCGCAGGAAGCTCGTTCGAAACGAGCGAGAACAAAACAGAACACACAAATGGTACATGTGTCGTGGAGGCACACTACCGGTGCGGGCGATAAGTTATCGACCGTCTGCCTGCGAATCTTGGATGTTATTGGCACTGGGCGATCAAAGCTCCGTATCTGGGTATTGAAAAGCTGTTGTAGTATCACCAACGAAGTATGATAACATACTTGTTTATTTGATTTGCTAACGCATAAAATCTGGTTGATATTAAGAATGTGACCAATGAGCTACAGCGAGACGTCGCTGTCCCGCAGGCGAATGTTGTCTGCTCACCACAATACCGATGCTTGCTTGACTGTGAGCGATACTAACTGTTGAAGTAGCCTCTAAACAGTTTGATTACCTTGACCGAATCACTCTAGGATATTATAATGAGGTTTAGGAGCTGATGTTTAAGTCGTTATGACTGGCCTAAGCTATACAAGCACTAATGGCTGGTGTACAGCTATTGGTGGCTTCCTAATACTAATAAAGTGCTCACTTTGTATTTTGACGCCTACAAGTAACGTCTTCTTCTTCTCTACTTCTTCTCGACCTGTCATACGAGATACAGGTTATGCGCCCCAGCCAAGCCTCAAGCGACGACTTCCCTTGCCTCATCGGCGCCGAGAATTTCGACGTCTGGAAGACCCGTGTGTGCGCAGCACTAGATGACAAGCACCTACTCGGCTACGTGAAGCAGCCAGACTACGATGGTGTGCCTGAAGACGAGAGTGAAGACAGCGGCAACGCTATGTCTGATGCCAACGATGAACCGCATCCCAACGGTACCAAGAACGTCGAAATCGACTCCGACGCTGTGGACTACGACGAGAGCGACGACGAGCTCAAGCCGCCCTCGAACTCGGACGAAGACTCTGGAGCTAGCTCCGATACGTCAATCAAGAGGAAGGACCTCCCGGTAGCTCGACCATCTAACCATCGTGAGGCTCGCCGTGCACGCAAACGTGCCAAGAAAGAGAAGCGCCAGCCTCTTAGCCAGCGCGAACGCCGTCGAGAAGAAGCCAAGACCAAAGCCTTCTTGATGAAAACGATGGACAACATGCACGTGCGGCTGGTCAAGAATCTCACGACATCCTAAGAGATATTCAACTACATCTGCCTGAAGTACGAGGGAGCAGCCTTTCATGGTGATCCGTACTTCACTCAACACTACTTGATGGAGATCAAGTATGAGGAAGGCTCCGACTTAGCTGAATTCTTTCTCAAGCTTGAAAACGCGATGAAATCCGCGTCAGAAGCCACCGAATCGTTGATGACCGAGGGACAGAAGTCTATCTACCTATTCCACTCGATGCCCAAGTCGTGGAAGGACGATCTCCGCCTCTGGAAGGGCCAGCGGAAGTATATTCCGTATGAAGACCTTAACCAGAGTATTAAAGGCAAGGTTCCCAAGCAGTTATGGGCCGAGTGTGTCTGTCATGTGACCCCTTTCATCAATATGACTCCTAGCTCCAAGATGGATGAACGAACCCCGTATGAGCTTTGGCACAACCGTATTACATTCATGTAGTACATCGAAGTATTCGGATGCAGCGGATATGTCCACATCACGGAGCAATACCAAGACGAACTCGACGCTAGGGCCCGTTTGTGTATGTATCTTGGTGTGCCTGACCATAAGAAAGGCTACTATCTGATGGACATCGATACTCATGCAATTATCTACAGTCGTGATGTAGTCTTTAAAGAGGACGAATTTCCCTCTCTCACTAGCCTGACGTCTACTCCAGAGCCCACACAGCACACAAAAAGGCGTCAATCTACCGCTACACTTGCACCTGTACCTCTATCACCTGCAACTGCTACTACAGTCGCACCGGAGCCTGATTATGTGTCAGAACCAGTGTCCACACCGTCACCCACATCAGGCCCTGCAATGACAACAGCGCCAGGCACAGTGAGCCAACGTGTACTGCCCTCACTTAGGGAGGCTGTTGATCGAACAACCATACATTATTCTTTTCGAACGGAGACGGACTCTGATCCTTCGCATCATTCGACTCCTAAGCACCCCCGCCTCTCTGCAGCCATTGATAGCTCTGAGGAAGCCAATGACGTAACCCTCAACTCTGAGGAAGTCATACACGAACAGGAGCAACGTCAGCATTTACTGTACACATTACTAGCTATTCGGTGTGTGTCTGAGCCCACTACGTATCGGGGAGCAATGAGGTCTTCCCACGCTAACCAGTGGCATAAAGCAGCTAAATCGGAATACAAGTCCCTCATGGACAATCACACTTGGGTGTTGGTATTCCTCCTAAAGGAAGGAAGAATTTAAGTAGCTGATGGATCTTTGTGGTGAAGTATACCGGCATTGGCGAAATCGACCGCTTTAAAGCGCGTCTTGTGATCAAAGGATTCCTTCAGGAATATAGCATCGACTACAACGAGATATTCTCTCCTGTCATCAGGATGGAGGTACTTAGACTCTTTCTTACTATCGCAGCTCTTCTCGACTTTGAAGTTCACCAAATGGATGTTAAGACAGCATTCCTGAATGGCTATATGGAAGAGAAAATCCCGGGCAAGGAGCACCTAGTGTGTAAACTTCTTAAGAGCTTATCCGGGCTGAAGCAAGCGCCCCGTGTCTGGCACCAAACCCTGACTGCCTTCCTAGAGAGTCTAGGGCTCCTAAAACTTATAAAAGATCGATGTGTCTTTCGACGCACAATTGGTGACATCACCTGTTACATTGCAGTGTACGTCGATGACTTACTGATCTTTGAGCCAACACCAGCACTCATCAATGAGCTGAAATCAGCCCTGAAAAAGCGATTTTCCATGTCAGATTTAGGGGAGGTGAAGTGCTTACTCGGCTGGTTCATTCAACATGACCGTAAATATGCCACTTATATTACTACACATAAAATACTTAGTGCAAATAAGCTTTTTGGGATATGAGGTAAAACCGATTTTTTTTAATCAAAATCTGTGGGATGGTTGATAACCCTTTCGTGTCATAAGGGCGTCTGGTGCGCCCTTTTGCAAAAGATCTACCGTCTATAGAAGCATACGACAAACTATGCGATTTCTAATCATCCAGCATACCTTAATTAGGATGTATTCCTCTATCATGATGTGTCATCCTTTTTTTTTTGCAAAATGGAGTCAAAGCTCGACTTTAAAAACACCTAAATTTTGTACCGTCCTTGTACTGCTGTCTTAATAATATTTTAATGCAGCTACTAATAGTATTTTAATGTAAATAAATGGAAGTTTTTACAAATGAAAGACAAATTCATTTAATTGTTTAAAAAAACCTTTTAATATTATTTTGAAAATGTACACCCAGAGAAACGTTTTTTTTACGATAATCAAGAAGCCAAATTGGATCCCCTTTCGTTTTGAAATGATTTGCAGGTTATTATTATTGTGCTTTGCAGAGATTTTGCCGACATTTTAGGAGTTAAAAATGACAACCCGTCATTGTAAATGTGTGTGAAAAAATATTCATGACCCTAATAATTAGCCAAATATTTATCTTAATCCGCCTGCATAAATAGTAATCGATGTGACCACGAGCTTATTTTTGCGTTGGTAAATACTTCCCGTTTTTAATTTGTACAGATACGGACGTAATGGAACGAAATGCAGTATCTGTGCCAGAATTGCACTCTCAAAAGCGCAATTCTGGCTACTTTACCGTACCGTATCGCAATGTAAATTCCGACAGCAGCGTATGGGTGGGGTTTGGGTGGCTTACAAAACTCTAAAATGTTAATTGCACCCTTTACAATTTAATAATTTGTATTGTACCGTATGTTTGGAGCAAACCGAGCAATTTTCGAAAAGGCAATGGCACCATTGAATTTAGGAGGGAGGTTTGCCAGAACCCTACCAACGCGGGAGGCGGCCAAAACGAAGTCCGACACAAGGCATTGCCAAACGTGCGTGTGCTCGTACGCACGGGGGATATCACAGTTTATTGAGCTGCTCACTAACGCATAGTCTGATTAACAATGTCAGTTTCAGCCTGACCGATTTGACTATCCAGTGCGCGCGGAAATCATAGACGAAAACTCGATTTCGAGCCGATTTTTGTCAAATCAAAGGCAATGGATTTGGGCTTTATATCCAATCAGGAG